AGATACCATCGAGGAGACGAAATTCAAAATTCAAAGATAGCCTGAAAGCTGTAGTAATTACTGTATAAGGAAAGTTGAGCTACCTGTAACTTACCAATGGATAGGCCTATATTCAATTTGTTCACGTTCAAAGTTGTGAGTGAATATTGTTGTATTTCATTGTGTGTTGTTCTGTATTTTCACGCATTGTTTCCGTATGTACGCATCAACATCTACTTATTAAAACGCATAAAATAGGCCTACGTTAATTTTTAATGTATAAAACTTCCGTAATTTATCATAAAATATTACCATTTTCTCGACGAATTCATCGTTAACCTGTCTCTTATACACATCTAGATGTGTATAAGAGACAGACCTCGGCTTGGTTATTAATATATTATTTAAATATACAATTTTGATAAATAAGATTATTTTAACATTGGAAATTTAAATGTAAATATAATGACGTTGTTTGGGCACAAAAAAAAAACGAAATTAATTTTTATACATTAACAATTAACGTAGGCCTATTTTTCATGCGTTTTAATAAGCAGATGTTGATGCGTACATACAGAACAATGCGTGAACAGAACAACACACAATGAAATACAACAATATTCACTCACAACTTTGAACTTCGAACAAATTGAATATAGGCCTATCCATTGGTAAGTTACAGGTAGCTCAACTTTCCTTATAATTACCGTACTACAGCTTTCAGGCTATCTTTGAATTTTGAATTTCGTCTCCTCGATGTTATCTTGGAATTCCGTCTTTCCAAGATAAATTATACTGGAAAGACGGAATTCCAAGATAAATTATCTTGGAAAGACGTCTTTCCAAGATACATCATCTTGGAATTCCGTCTTTCCAAGATAAAATTATCTTGGAATTCACTCTTTCCAAGATAAATTATCTCGGAAATCCGTCTTTCCGAGATAAATTATCTCAGAAAGACGTCTTACTAAGTATTTATTCCATATTTCCATGATAATTATCTTGGAAACTCGGAAACGCGGAAGGTCACTTTAAGCTTCCGTATTTAAAAATTGAACAGTAAAAAAATTTAAATACAAAATAGTTAATAATGCTGTTCTTCACTAATTCCATGGACACAACATGGAGAACAATACGAAAAAGACAATTTATAAAATAGAACCATTATTAACATTAGAAAAATTAGCAAATTAAATGGATTATACCCTGGCCTAGTAGACGGTAGGCCTAGCCTAGCTGGATAGGCTACCGTTGACCTCCTGTATTTTAATGCTAAACAAACATTTAGGCCTAGGCCTAAGACTTAATAGGAGGCTACTACTATGCCTATATAATAATAGTAAGTACATCATTCATAAGAGGCAGCTCGACTCCACCAGCTAGGCCTTGCATTTCACAGCAGCCTTCTATAGACAAGTGTCACCGAGTCAGACAGGCCTTAATCAAGTGCCAAGGTCTGTGAAATAACACGTAAAAGTTTCAAATATGTGTCTGGACCTAGCCTAGCTCAGTAATTGGCTGCCACAAAAAACCCGTCGAAGTATTAAAAACTAAAACCATATGAGGCCTACATTTCACGAAAAATGTAAATTAGTATTTTTTGAATTGTTATCATTTAATATTATTGTTATTTATTATAAGTCTTGACTATTAACAATGATAATGAAATTGTGATAAATGCAATTGTGATGATGGATTAATAAATTTGAAGATGGTGAATTGTCATTTAGTGTTTATAATGAATAATGAGTGTTGTTTCCTATACGACGTACCTTGTCATCTTGCAAATTGACATTGCGTGCAGAACTCAGCGATTCTCTCATTTCCTGTGTGTAGCCGAGTCTAGCAATGTGATGTAGAATACAATCACCGTCGACCTACACAATGAACAAGGAATATGAAAACAGAGAATACAACACATCATCTCTTTAAAAAAAATATTTTTTAGGTAATTTAATTTTATGGAGTATCTAATTAAAATTGCAATTCAGTGCTCAATACAGATCAAACACGATTGTGAAATTTTCATGTAAAGCTGATTTTAAGCAACTATAAACAAACTTTTTTACATTCATTTTGCTGTATGGACGCCCTATGTTTTGTAAATGTTAAATCATTATTAAAAAAAAAAAAAAAAAAAAAAATAGGTATTGCACTTTTTATGGAAAATTTAATGAAAATTATAATAATTATTATATCCAGTGTTCAATGTGGACCAAAACAACACCAAACATGAATGGGATTTTTTTTTTGTATACCTGATTTCCAGCAATTATAGACAATTTTTTTGGCCCATGATGAACTGTTGTCACTCAGTCAAGCAATGTAAAGAAATGTTATTTTTTACACGTTGACGATGCGGAAAATTTAAACAATAAATGATCAATATTGATCGTAAAATACAGTAAAATATCATATTTATTGTGGATAAATGATTAAAATATGTTTTAAGTGTAATAAATTGTTGTTGTTAGGTAAGAATTGATGTAGAGTGATGTTGTGTATAGATGCTGTGTTGTTGTATTTTGTTGATGTCGTAATTGAAAAACGTTTTAAGAGTTTTACTATTTCTTTTATTGCGAAATGTCTTCATGGCTTTTGATTTTAATATTTTTAATTACATAACAGTCAACTCTAGATACGGTGAACATCTTAAATTTGTACATCAATATGCTCGAACAAATTCTCTGAAATATTCTGTGTTTCATTTGTTTCCACGCGCATGGTAGGAACTACTTGTAGAAACTAGGGATTTATTGGTTTTGAATCTTAAAGCATTTTTAAACGATCTTAAATTATATTTTAAATAAGTTCTACAATTTCTATAATATTAATTGTTAAGGCAAATTTTACAGATTTTAAGTATTATTTCAATTGTTCATTTTATTATTATTTCATGTGCAATCGGAATAGTGCATTAGGAGACCTACATGATAGTGATTTGGTTCACTTTTAGGAATCCTGTCTCGGCCTGTTTCAGATTTTTTATGCTTTTATTTTGTTGAATTGTAACCGGTTGTTGTTTTTTATGTATTTTATTGAGACAAAATAAATGAAATGTAATGATACATAATTCTACTCACCCACCCCAGGCAGTCCACAGCTTCTGCCGTCGCTGATTTCAAACTCTCAGCGACGACATCACGTGGTGCGCTGAGGACCACAATCACATATAATAACGGGTCGCCGCCCTACGAAAACAACAAAATACGATGATAACAGAACACATTCAACTATCACACATACACAAAATATGACATATAAACGACACAACTTAATCACATCATAATTACATTAAATAATCACAATCAATTAAATATTCTAATATTATTACAAATTAACTAACAATTTAAAGCTAAATCGTTTAAAATCGTAAATTTTAGCATTTTTTCTGAGCGGCTTTTCCCTATTCTTTAGCATTGAATTTTTTTTAATTCATAGGGTTTTGTTCAGATCATAATTTTTTTTATGAATTTTGTATTTTTAAAACTCTAGATATATTACTTTTGTATAAAGGTTTGAAAAGAATACAGACAATGATATGTTTCATCCACTACTTAACATTTTTCTTTATCATTAGGCCTACAGTAGGCTGACTTCAGAGAAAATTCCCTATTCTTTATCAATAGATACATAAAATCTGTTATCCCATCTGTTAGGAATCATATTTTTTTTAAAGCTATATTTTAAAGATCATATATGACTTTCCCTTGACTAGAGTTTTAAAAGTAATCCAAACACATATATGTTTTGACGACTAATTAACGATTTTACCAAGTTTCAGACAAAATTTGCCTATTCTGTATCATTAGATACATAAATTATGTTGGCCCATCTGTTCGGAATCATATTTTTTTTACAAAACTATATTTTCAAGATCATATTTAACTTTCTCTTGAGTAGAGTTTTAAAAGTAATCCAAACACATATATGTTTAAACGACTAATTAACGATTTTACCAAGCTTCAAACCTATACTATTTTCAGACAAAATATGCCTATTATTTATCATTGGATAGGGCCTAATATGGGCATGGGCTCCCTATCTCTGTTCGGAATCATAATTTTTTTCGAAATATTATATTTTAAACTTCGTAACTGCCTTCTCTTGATTATAGTTTTATAACAAATACAAATACTTATATATTATATTGATTAACTAAAAAAATTCAAAGCATCTTATACAAACTTTAGACAAAATGTGTCTATTCTTTATCATTAGATACATACACATATTAATTTATAATTCTGTTTGGAATAACAATTTGTTTTGTATATGATATTTTATTTTTTGAATTAAAAACTCCAAAAGTGTTTAACTAGAATACGATAATATAGAATAATTTGTTATCAATTACATGGTACAGACGACAATGTATGGCAACGGAGTTACTATACAGTATCATGTAAATATTGTACAGTGTTGCGGCTACAAAAAATCGAAACTATAGAGGGCGCTAAACTAGTATTTTTGGTTATCCAAACTAGTCCGATCCCATTTTGGCTGACATAATAAACAAAAGTTAATTCTAATTCCCCCTCCCCCGTTGATTGGTTTGTTTCCCCCTCTCTTTATTGTCTGAGCAATTACAGAGAATAAGAAATGCCAGAATTAAACTGAATAAAAGTTTTATGAAGTATACGCTATCAAGATATTTATAATCAATTTCTGCTCCTCCACCTCACAAAAATTCACACTAAAATATACTGTGACAAAGGTGTTATTACAAATTATTGCTGTCTCTTATACACATCTAGATGTGTATAAGAGACAGATTCTAAATGAATTAGGCCTATAAAAAATATACATATTTTGTTTCTTATAAACTTATATAAATATATCATTATGTATTTAATTTTAAGGTGTTTGTTCAAAAGAGCATTAATAAGTGTATACAATTTAACTAAGTTACTGTAACATTTTTGTCTTGAAAATTAATAAACGTTTATAATTACAATATCTTATTTTAAAATCGTTTTAAAAGAATATTAATCTTAAAATTTAATTAAAATCAATTAAAAATTAGATTTATGATATCTTCTGTTTAATACAATTGCCTAACACAATTGCAAATTTTGATTCTTTTTCAATTGTTTATAGTAGGAAAATGTTATTTTGTTTTTGGAACGCTTTCACAATTTCAGATACCGCGACGATTCTCTGACAAGCGAAAATACCTTTACAATTCTACAACTTATTCTACAATTTCATACTAAATAGATGAAAATATCACAAATTCTTTGGCAGATTTATTAGAATTTGCCCCTTCTACTACGGCTTAGCGTTTTACTAGAGCTTTGACTATTTTTGTAACGCCTGTAACTTCTTGAGAAACGCCCAGTTCCAAATGAGCCTCGGAAAGATCATGGGGCCCGCCTCTTACTACAACCCCGTACTGCAATACAACGCTTTTGACAATGCGGTCCATTTTTGTGTATTTTAAAAAAATGAATAAGGCTCGGACCGGCTACATCTCCACCCACTCTACAATCCACCTTCCTCAAAAGCACGGGGATAAGTGAAGCATTAAATACATTATTACCCATCATAGTAGGCCTATCGTTACTGTATTGTGTGAAGGCATTATACCATACATAAAATGTTAAAATCGGTTAAAATAACGTATATAGGCCTATGCCCAGAAATAATTCGGTTATTTCGATGTTAAAGGTCATTGACTGAAACATCGACTGAACCATAAAGAACAATATTCATTGGCCTCATCATGACGTATCAGTGCAAAATAATTTGTGGTATCGAAGTGACACTTTCCTAAAGCGATCAATTTGGTTACCTAACCGCCTTTGTATCCAACTGTACGCCTAAAATTATAATGGAAAATGTAAACTTTTGTCCATTTTCTGATTTACATCAACACCAAACTCCGTATTTTGTTTAATTCGTTATTGCATGAAAGTGACACGTCGTCTTCGGAGTTGACCAAAACTATCACATAGCGTAGAACAGAAAAAATATATATAACACCATGTTCAATTTGTACTTGTAATTTGCGTTTAATCATGCTTAGGCCTCTGTGTTGTAATTATAGTAGGCCTATATGTATAACGTGTTCTGATGCATATTTACATATTTTAGAAGCATTTATTTTGAAAGAATTTGTATTTGCTGGAAAAACTTTAAAATGTTAACACTGTGTACAAAAGGGAGAGGGGCGGATCCCACGGCTCCCATGGATTCGTCCTTGGTACCCCTAGAGGAACCTTTCCTTGAAACGAGGAGAAATATATCTTTTAACACTACGGCCAACCCCTATTAAGAGGAAAACTCTATTAAAGGGAGGGGATACATTTTCTGAGTTTGGAAAATGACCAAATCAATACAATTAACCCCTATATTAAGAGGACACTTATTTTCCATTGTATCAAAACAACTACAGTAGCCTAAAAATAAGAAAAAAAAATCAAATTTATATTTTGAAATCCTTTAAGCAATACATTTCATCATCAAACCAACATTTCCCTCTCAATCTTTAGAATGGACATTAGTATAATAATAATAGTAATAATAATAACAATAATAATAATAAAGATAATAATAATAATAAAGCCCCCCACCCACTTCTTTTTGGAAAAAAGGGGGAAAAAGGAACACATAGGCCTACATCTTTAGAAGTTTGAATTACACATATGTTTATTTCATATCGTAAATGGATTACTTTTGATTACAAATATTGTTATAAATTGGTTATAATTCCACTGTAACTCATTCTTAAGTCAATAAAATCAATCATCTATGTCATCATGCTACGAAAACATGCCAAAATCCCTTTCAAGAAAACACTATTCACATTTTTGGTTGTGTCCCCTAAATAGTGGTACGAGCTATTCAGGGGACACTTTTATATTTTTTCACATATAATAATTTTTTTTTGTGTTTTTTTTTTTGCTTTGTTTTCTTCCAGTTGTCATTCTTAATTTGATAATTTCAGTTTACAGTTGTTCAATATGTCCTAGATTACCTCAATTGTCACATTGTAGGCACTAAACTTGACAAAAATTGTTGATTGATACTTGTTGCGATTATCAGAGAGCAGAAGATCATAAAAAATAATTTGAAATACATAACTTACACATTTCTCATTTACGAGTAGAGGTTGGTGTCTAATAATGCGTCGTACCTCATCCCATTGCCCTTCACTCGTTACGCATGCGTCGTATAGGTCTTTACTGTAATATTTAATTGAAGCAGAGTTACAACTTGCCTAAAGCTAATCCTTACAAGGCGGCTATAAATCAATTTAAATCCATGAAGTAGTGAAATGTTCATTCTAAATATTTAATGCATTATTTAATGTTATATATATATATATATTATATATATATATATAACATAAATCAAGGTAGCCGTTAACACTGTTAAATCATATATAAATCATCAAAGAAAGGTAAATACAGTGTTCGAATAAAGGACTTAATAAATACATCGTGTAGCATAGCTCTCAACGAATGTA